GAATTTCAAAATTAGCGAAACCTCCAAATTGTAAGCCTTGGTCACTACGATGAGCGTCTACACGGGACCAAAACATTTAGGTATTCAAAGTTAACTACAAGTCATGGGAAAGCATTCAATTTAACTACAAATAGGCGTACCTTAATCGTTTACTTCAGGTCTGGAGCACTTGCCGCTTGTGGTTATCATGCTTACCTTAAGATCTGTCATGTTTTTTAACTTTGCTAATTTAAAGTTTCGTAACCACAAGTGCATACCCATGTTCCCTATTACAGTGTACTAACGTTTAAAAACCACGACCTACATGTAAACTTAAAGTTAAGAGACTGTCATGTGAACCTCACTAATATCATTTGACCTGCAATTTCCTTCTCTTTCAAGGTGAATATAGCCATTCAAGAACAATTGCGGTCTAATCTCAAATAGTCTCTAATGGGCTGAGTACTTAACTAAAAGCTACAAGTAAATTTAAGGTAAAATGTCTATAAATTGAAGCAAAAATGATGATTTAAGTGTATGTACATGTACCTAATATAAACTAATGAAATACATAGTAATCAAATTTTGAGAAAATATGTTATGACATAAAACTGTACATACGCAGTTCATACATGTACATGTACACATGTACATTGTACAAACGTTTCCTGTACATTTTCTTAATTCAGGTACTCGAAGCTTTTAAAAAGACTTGGTTTGTATAGAATTATAGATTATCCACTTCCAAGAAAATGACTAAGGGACTATAAGCCATGGCATGGGTCAGTCTTTTAACTCGGAAACCTAAAATCTACATGCATGCTATCATAAAAATGAACTTTAAAGGTTAAAGGGGGATTTAATTAAGCTTTTAGGACATGAGACTCATTTATCATGTGGATTAATCAGAGCAAAGATTGCAAATACCTTTTAATATAAAGCAAGCATAAAGAGCATTTCAGACCAGTAGAGTCTTTCCATTTGTATTGATTTAAACAATTAAGTCTTCATGTATGTATGTACATGTACATGTACAGACACAAAATGAAGAAAACAATTTGTCCAAGGGAAATCTTTTTCGATTTTTTTATAGAACATGTGATTCCCTTTTGCCATTTTTGTATCCTTTATTTCATTATGCTTCTTGATTTTCTTTTTTTATTCTTTTCACCAGAGAACTCTTTGAGATTTCAAGAGCTACGGTATTTATGGTTCCTATGTGTATGTTTTCCACTGTTAAGAAGCCTTGCATTATAATTGAGTAGATCTTTTTTATGTGTAATTCATCACACTACTCTACATTCAATCGCTGGTACATCATGAAGTTCATACACAAACTTCGACCACAGTGGTGCTGGTCATAAAATGCATGCATTAGAAATTTAGCATCCATCCTTTCTATTCTTTCTCTTAATCCCCTCCTCCACACCTTTTCATGCTTGCAATGAAGTTGGGTGAAGTGGCCCTTTCATTTATTCCTGGATCCAAGATTCCTGAAGAATACAAAAGGCTTGTGTCTACTTGATCAGTGGAGAGTGCTGGGTTGGCCATGGTTGTTACACAATGAAAATGCCAAGAAGACCTACTGCTCTTCTTTGAAAAGAGATTATAGGGGATTAATGATGCACATTGTCAACAATGCATGGCTTCTAAGTCCTGATTCCAACTAGCCACTGCATCATCAAAATGTATAGTCTACTGTATGTGCAGGCATACTGTATAAAGTTATTATGCAAAGTTGATTGGGTGAAATTTGTAAGCTGCTTCCTTAATCATACTTTTCAAAGAAGCCAAATAAAAGTGAAGTACATTATTGGTTACATTGTATGTACTTCTATCAAAATAACAGTGTATTGACCTACATGTATCTGTGTAACAAATACACTGCATTATAAATGGTGTATGGGTTACAGAATTCTTTTCATTTGATTTTCATGTGATATGCCTACACTTTTTATGTGTTAATAATGATTAAATAGTGTCTTTTTCCTAGATCTTCACAATTTGTTACCTGACGAGTGACACAGACCCACAGCACTGTTCATGTAAATGAGTTGGACAAAATGTAAATATATGTTTTGAAGTGCTGTAGAGGCCACATGTACATGTGCACGTCAACATGGCACAGGCCTACATTTAGCCTAGATTCATGTGTACAGGTATAAAGCAAATGTACATTCCAGAACAGTTAAAATGCAGTTATCAAAACCACTGTTTGGTTTTAACTAGTATGTACATCTACATTATGTAGGTCTACAAGACAGTTCAGGTTAAACTCAAAAGACCCTCTACAATTTTAACAGTTAATAAGATGTTCTACTAAAACAGGGAAGAATGACCAGGAAAGCAAGCAGTGTCGCTGAAAGGTAGGCTAAGGTCGTCATCGGCTTCTTACTCTATTCATGAGAATCAAATCAAGCAGAAGTAGCACAAACCATGCTGACAAAGAGAAAGGCTCTGGGTTCTCGTTTTGGTATTCTCCTTCTTCCATTATACCTCTCCCAACAGGCAATTTAGGCTTCTATTCAGCCTCCAATAGAGCCCAGGAAATAGTTGTCTTACAAGGTCGGCCCGCGGATCCTAGGGAGGTATCACCAGGCTGTTGTCTGCCGGTGATTGCCCATTGAGCGGGGGAGCCTATATCGGAGCCATTAATTTAATCGAGTGACAAAGGGGGTATTCAAATGGCCCCTGTATAGGGCTCATTCATGTGCAGAAGTAGGCAACGGGGGAGATGACGAGGGAGGGAGTGAATGAGCGGTTAGTTAGTATTGCGGTGGCTTTGTGTCCAATGTGAGGAAGAATAACAAATGCAGCCCCAAACGGACCAATCTATGGCACGGGTTAACAGAGCCCGTGGGCATTGCAAGGTTATAGTAATTGGCAGAAAGAAAGGTAGATTTGGGGATGCCGCATGTGAGATAAATGCATGGGAAAATGTCGTACAGAGGAGTTTTTGAGTGCTGTTCAATGTAAATTACAGCACATCTTTCTACCTCTCTTCATAAATTTACCTATTCTCTCTCTTGTTCTGTCTCTTCTTTTTCCTCACACACACACACACTCTCTCTCTCTCTCTCTCTCTCTCTCTCTCTCTCTCTCTCTCTGTATTGCTTCTTATGAAATATCTTTACATATACACTGTATATATATATGTATAATATACAGTGTATGTATATACATGTTTATACAATGCCTACTAAGATTCTTGCAACCTCATTGGTCAATTCTTGATCACATGACATGCGCTAGAAGTACTGTTGAACGGCATCATTCTCCAGCCGTGCAATTCCAGTTGATCCTCTTGCACCATTGCACGCTGACGTCATTAACGATGTACAAAGTATACAGTGAGGTAAGTGAAGTCACCATGCAATGGTGCGAATGGATCAACAAAAATTGCACTCCGCGGAACAATAAACATAAAGCATGGTACGCGCGTTGTTTGCTGCCTGCTTAATAATAGTGTGGCTTACTACCTGCAATTTCATCAATAATTATTTTTTTTAATTTACAGAGATTTAGGCCTTGGAAAACTGTTCTTGAAAAAAAATTTGTTTGAATCTCATTAACGTCCGAGTTGTTGTATAAAACAAATAGTGAATGGTCTTTATTTGTGTAATGGAACAAGATTTTACATTCGGTGAAAGATGAGACGCTCCATTCAACTCGGCTGCGCCTCGTTGAATAGAGCATCTCTTACATGTATCTTTCACCTCATGCAAAATATTCAGAGCTGCCAACCTTGTGCGACCAAAAAAAGGAATCATGATGGCAAAAAAAAAGGAATTTCAAGCCAAAAAAAGGAATTCATAAAAAGAACCTTACAACCACGCGCGACACACTTCCAATGCAGAAATGTTTATTCATCATGCTGTTTTTTCCATACAAGCAGGTAATTTTTTTGGTGGTTATTTTGGTATTATCGGCATTTATTTTCTTTTGAGAATATTTTTCTCTTCAAGTATGTTTTAAAATAAGTTTTCTATTGAATTCGTGATCAAATCACCATTTAAGGGCAGTTGTTTGACGTGTGGTATGTGAAAAAAAAAATTAAAATTAAAAAAAAAAAAAAAAAAAAAATAAATAAATAAAAATTAAAAATTTATTAAAAAACGTATTTTATGAAGAAAAAACGTAGTACCGTAATTTGGAGGAAAAAACGGAGTAATTCCGGCAAAAACGGAATGGTTGGCAGCTCTGAATATTGTACCATTTGCACTCATGGCCATTCACTTTTTGTATAATATTACTACTTTGGAAGAATACATATTCTTGAGGCTCTACAAACAACAACATGCAGACCTACATGTACTTGAACAGTCAGTGTTACACTGCTTTCAAAATTGTAGTAATGTTCTGTAAATGTCTTTAAAATATTCTAATTAAGAAACTCCAGATATATCAAACAGAATATCTGTGTAATGATTCAGAGAGAGCCTGCAAACTTAAGCCAGACACCCACTACATGATCCACTGTTTTGCTAAATTAAAAATTGTCAATAATGATAATACTACTAACAACCAGAATTTTAGCGCTATTAAGCCTTCTGGCCAGAATAAGTGCTGAATCGGCTTCAAATTTTAGACGATCCTTACTACTGGTCTGACGTCACTACGATTCTGAGCTGATATATGGTAGCTTTTCTTCCTTCAAGGAAATTTGAAATCTCATAAAATTTAAAATTGTATTTATCACATGACTAATCAGATCTATGATCATAAACATTTTACATATTTGAATGTTCATGTAAAAAGCTGTTTTCAATTCTTCCAAATCCAGATTGCAGTCGGACCATGTTGGGTCTTACAGATCATACCAAAATGTGTGTTAGGTTTCGGGAATACAGCAAGCACATAGAAGAATGTGACGGCTTTATTGAGATGCAAAGAGTTGTAATGTGTAGCTCAATGTACATGTAAGCATGCTTGATAGGCCTCGATATATCAGTGATATGAAGAAAATTTTGCAAGTAAATTTTAATACCGCAAATTAAAAAAAAAAAAAAAAAAAAACTTACCACAAATTGGAAGAGCAACGGACCAACATCATGCTGCGTGACCAGCTTCCACGTTACAGGATGCACTGAGTTCAGTACCACCAGCGTAGTCCTCATATGCAATGACCTTGGCCCGATGTTCAAGGTCATCACTTGATTTGTATGTAGGAGGTCTTCCTCGGTGGACTTGAGATTGATGACGTGCACCTCTCGCGAGGTTTCGTCCACCTGGGCGGAGCACCCTGATATCGTTGCCTCTTGAGACGTGAAGGCTTGGACGAAGGGTGACGTGTAAGCTGTCTGGGTGTTGCAGGACTGCGGGATGGTCGCCCAAACTGCAATGGTAGATGATCAGACAAATTGGGAGTTATTATGACAAAATTTTACATTATTTTAAAAGGGTGGCTAAGTGTCAAACATATTGTACATGTGCAGGAGCTTTTTTTTTTCTTCAGTTGTCTTTGTCACTGATGCTGATTTTCTCACCGTAATTTTTATGTGTTGCATTGTTTTTTGTACCCAAGACCTTTCCATGTTTTCCAAAGCTCAATTGGAGCTTTTAAAGCTAAATCTCTTATCGCTCCCATCGACATGTACATTTACATGTAGGCCTCCATTTGTATGTACTGCTGATGATGGTATATTTTTCTGCAAGTTATTTCATTCATTACCTACAGGAACTGAGAAGGCCCTGCATTAGGTCTTTCATAATGAGAGAAATCAGTATAAAACTGGTTAAGGAGCATGTACACTACAGTAACTGTATGAAACAGGATTTCTCTGAAAATCATTGGAGTCACAAAACTTCTGATGCAGCCCTTTAAATCAAAATTTATGCGGAGTATGACTAACCCCGGATTTACCTTTACTGTCACCGAACCAGTCAGTGAACATGACGTTGAAATAATATATGTCTGAAAGAGAGACATGATTAATCATTTTCTTTCCTCACAAGACATCCGCCTTGCAGCAGGTGCCGGCGACAGTGTCTGTATGTATGTTTATGCCAACGGTTGGTTAGCAGTGAACCGTGACACACATATTAATGTGATTCATGTTGAGAGTCGGGAGATGGAGACTGGGGGGTGGAGAGGGAGGATTCAAAATAATGAGTAAGGAGGAAACAAATGGAATGTAGAGAAAGAGAGAGACAGAGAGAGACAGAGAGAGACAGAGAAGAGAAAGAGAGAGAGAGAGAGAGAGAGAGAGAGAGAGAAAGAAAGGGAGGCCCAACAGCTTAAGAATAGACAGAACTCAACACCAACACCAACAGGGGCCTAATGCGCATATCTTTTGTCCTTTTTGATAACTAGTTCTTATTAAATTCAAGTGTTGGGCTCCCCAACAGATCTTGATGAGTACCAGCAACAACAAAATAAAAAACAAAACAAAAATACTTTTATCAAAATATCATTATAATGCCCAGCAAAATTCAGCATGTTTTGCGCCAAAATTCCCAGGCCAGATGATTATTATCAAGACAGCAGACGATAAGCATTGCTATGGGAAATGTAAAGAGGAAATTGAATTAAGGGAAGGGGGTATAACTATAAAGCTTCACCAAAAACATGGGGGTAAATACCAGGGTTAGTTTAGATCAACGATGATGATGATCACAAGTACAGATGTAGCTGTTAACAGTTAGTACATTTTTATTTTCCTCCCACCTCCCCCATTTTTGTCCTTTGACTGTTAAAGAGAAGGTTGAGTTCTGGGAAGAGGTAAAAAATAATTTGTGAGCGTTATCATTATTATTATGCGAGGGTGGAAGAACATCAGATTAAACATGTTCCCTGAAAAGCATGGCTCTTCAAATGCCTTCATGACATGAAACATCGTAAAAATCGGGGTGTAGGTTTTATTCACCATGTGATTGTGTAGTCCCATATACATCATTCTGTGTGCAGTGCTTGTGACTTTGCCAAGATTTGGCCAAATTTCTTATCATTTTGATGATTCCAGAACCTTGCAATACACACAAATACTTATATACTACATGTACATGTAGATGATCAACCATTCCTGATAAATTCCACACCGTTTCTTTCACAATGCAATCACATGACCAGAACTCAACTTTATCTTTAAATATACATGTAATATTCTAGGATTTATACAGTGCGTATGATTGATGTACGATATTATTATTTTTATTTCCATCTTGATTTGTAATATATTTCCATTTTGTAAATTTAATATTGTCAGCCCCTGGCTTGGGCTTCGTAAATCTAAGATACCTCTTCAAATTGAAGCTTTGAACAAGTACAGTACATGTACATGTATATGTACACGCAGGCTAATCAAAACCAAATGTTCTACAAATTAGAAAATAGTCATTTTATAAAGCATCACAAACTGTACAGTTGTACAGTAGGTCTTTAATTGAATGGGGAGTACAAAAGAAATGACAATATTTTCATAGCTATGCGGTGATCATTATTGATTGCCGATTCACGCTTTCTCTACACCTGTTCTTCGTCCGCGAACAATCCAATTGGTACGACACCTCCGCGCGTCGCGGCCATGGAAAAAGCACGGATAAGCAACGGTTAAGAACAGCATGTTGGTTTAATATTGTCATTGTTTTCTTCTGTCTATCGTGTATGTTCAATGCTAGGATGAACATGACGAGTGTCTAGGCACACTCCCCGTCTCATTTCTGTATGTATGTACTGGATGTCTGGGAGCTGGGAGCATGCAGTCAATGAACGCTCACACTCATGTACACTATACTACACCCATCCATACAAGCACATTGTGGTGTCCTGCCTGTACACCAGCTACTGTGCACATGTATTCACATGCATGCTCATACTACACTAATTACAAGGGACTAGTGAGATGGTATGGTGGCGATGATGCAGAACAGTCAATGCATGTCTGTACTGGTGTAATACTTCCTTTGAAATAAAACATTTTACCAACCAAAATATAAGTGTATAATTAATTTTGTAGTACCGGTTATAGGCTTAAAGAGTGTTTTGTTATCAACACTACATGAACTATTCAGTACATACAGTACCTGTACATACCAACACATAAAGGGATTTAATTATTTTTAAACTGTACAGTTTCAAACAAGAATTCAGTCTTTCACTCTGCATAATAAACATTGACTGGTGTGAGCACAATGTAGAATACAGTATACAGTGTACATATATAATGTATATTGAATGCATACAGTACATGTATAAGACTTTTAGAAATAAATAAACAAACAAACATAGATAGACAGAAACTCACCTTGGCTGTACGACAAGCAGCAGAAGAAGAAGCTCAAAATTTCCAATGTGCACTCCATTTTAGTCAGCTTCTTCGGGTCAAAGGTCACGAGGCAATATGACACATTGGATCTGTCCAAGATGCTAAAATATCTAAACTTCTAACCCGAGCAGGTACATGAATAGGATTACGGTATGGGAAGGCTCTTCTCATGAACTTAATTGCTTGGCAACAACCAGAGAATTCATATCTTTGCACACTTGCTTCCCACTTTATTTGTAAATGATCTAATTATACGAATTGCATCAAAAAGAACTTAAAGTAGAGCTCCTAGTATTGTTTTTCTCAGACGTCATTGCAAAAAGTCCAATGAAAATGTTGACTTAAATGATGAATTCAACAGGGCTACACCACTATTTGGACAATAAATCAAAAATTATTTAACAGATCTGTATTTAAAGTGAGCAGTTAATGCTATAATATTTGGTATCTCCCATTTATAAAATAAGTGGTAAATTCATCCGATGTAGAATATTCTTGATTATGTAATAGCTCTGCTTTACGACCACTTAGATGAAAAAGAGAGCGCTGAGATGCAAAGTGGATGGATGATCTTCTGTGCTAATTCCCAGGAGTTTCTTGATGAGCTTTGCGAAGATCAGAATAATGCCTGTAAAGCCTGTGAGGGATGAGTACAAGATACAGGATTGGAAAATTAATGAGCTGTCAAAAGAGGATAATTTCTTAGCTAGGAATATCAATTTCAAGCGTATTAAGAACAGCAGATGTGCAGGGAAGGAAAAATAATGGACTGCTTCATAGATGTACATGTAGATCAGGCTGCATGCGGAATGTTCTGCATTACCATAATCCTTGGAAATTATTGATGTATAGAAGAAACAAAAAACATTTTTAACATCGAACATAACATAAGCGATGTGTCGCATAAATATTGAGTGACTCGAGTATCATTACTTTATATGTACAGGTCTGCATACATCTTTACAGGTTCCAGTTGAAGTTTAGGATAACAGTTTTCTCCATCTTGCTAATATACATTGTATCTTCAATACAGGAATAATGTTAACCAACAGGCAAACTTTTAAATTTGTTAGCAGAAATTTTTGAGTTCAAATTTAAAAAATAATTTAACAATAAATACAGAAATCTTGTAAACCATGAACAAAATTTTTGCTGTTAAGTTGTAAACACAACTCTGACATCACTGTTTACAGCAATATTGTAGATATGAAACATTGCATCTAAAGTAATAACAAGGAAATCAACCAGGCCAAAATCATCACAGCAGGTCCAATTTCCTATACAACCACATAAAACAGGGCCTTGAAATTTGAACGTCCAAATGACAGAAGTGGCTAAATAATATGCAAAAAATGAAAAGCTGGGATGACGTTCTAGGACGGCTGGGTCAGCAGCATTCAATCAAGTAATTTGCGATGCATTGCCAGGCAGCGAGGGGTATCAGCAGGGTTTCCGAAGGCTAAAACCCAGGGCCTAGAACCAGCAGGTTCTTTCAGCCGAACCGGTCTACCAATTGATTTTTGGCGCCCTTCTGTTTCATATCCAACCTGGATGCAGGCGTGGTGAAGTCGGTCAAAGCAGCTTAGTTACAACAGCAAGCTTAGTAAGAATAGCAAAGCTAAACTTGAACTAAGTTGTTTGTATTCTTTTTGACAAGAGGTTAGAAAAAACTTAGAATAGCATCTTAAAGGTACTATGTCCCATTTGCAGGCCAAAAAAATGAAAAAGTTAAATTCAAACTGCATTTGAAAGTTAATACTTATGTAGAACTTCCCTAAAAAAGGTGGGGCTTGAAAATGTCTTCAAGTTGGAAAATAATGACTATTAGTTGTCAAATCGACTTTAGGGCTATAGAGCCCAAAAGTAATAGTCTTGATTTTCAGGCAATTGTACCGAATGGTCATACATTTTATGCTGCGCAAAGATTCAATCAGTTAAATCTTGGCCATCACAAGAAGTGGGTTATTGATGTAGACAAATGCTCATGTACCCTTTACAACTCTTTTCATGTATGTTATTACCAAAGAAGAAAAAAAGCCAGTCAGTCACTCAATAGTGTCTGACAGTGAAGTCTAGGGGCTTCCTTGCATAATTTGAATATGAGGACACTGCTAACGTTTAAATTTCACAGATAGGACATAAGTATGACATATTCATAATTCCTGCAAAGTTCTACAGAATTTGAGGTTGGCTGCAAAAGGGACATAGTACCTTTAAAAGTAATTGATTTCAGTTTATCATATCACAGCCATAATATCATGTTGTGCAGACTTTCATTAAAGTCTAAATTTTAAAGCCCCTCTAAAGTGTTGGAAGCCCTAAAAATTTGATGGCAGAATTTCTCTGAAATATTGTATCATATTAAATGTAATAGAGGATGCATGTAAGACACATTTTTGCAAGGTTTTTTCAAATGTGTTTGAAATCGAACATTGATGAAATAATACAAAATTTAGGTTTTCTTCGTACAACAGAAAACCCAAATTACCGGTATGTATTAAAGCTTAATTCTTTCTTAAATATTTGTCTTCAAACACATTTTTCTTTTCTTTTTTTTCGGGGGGGGGGGGGGGGGGGGAATTCTTTGAAAAAGTGTGTATTAAATGACATCTTCTCTCACATTATGATATAATTTAAGTGAAAGTTTGCTCTCAATTTTTTGGTGAATTTGGGGCTCCCAACACTTCAGAAGGGCTTTTAGTTTAACCAGGTGGATCCTCTAGTAAAGTATGATAATTCTGTAACCAAGGGATTAAGGGATTAAGGGATTAAGGGATGTACCTGTATTCCTGTAACAACACAAACGTTAAGTACTGAGGCCATTATCAAATAAAACATGTTTAGCGTCCAGCCTTATCGAAAAATAGAAAGGAAGGGAAAGGCCTTTTTTTTCTTTCAAAATGGCCGCTCGGTACATTTTCCATGGCGTCCAGCCAGTCGAGCTATTTTTCAGTTTGTTTTTCAAGATTTTCCATACAGCAATACAAAAATGGCAAAAATGGAGAAGAAAATTTGTTAAAAAATCAGAAAAAAAAGCAGACGGGGACGCTATTGATCGTTTTTTTTTAAATCGCCTAAAAGCCTGTTCAGACTATACAGCATTATAGGAAATTTGAACAAAATAAATTTTAAAAAAAATAAAGATTCGTCATATAGCGAAAGGGATGTAGTGTACAGTACATGTACTGACTAGACAACAAAATTGTATCTTTAAGAAAAATTGCATAAAAAGAGACAAACTAGCTTTGAACTTTGAAGAGATCAGTTATTAATTATTATGACAGCTGGCCAATCATCAGTACAGGCTCATACAAGTAAGTCCAGCGTAGGAAACGATACAACATTCAGTCTAGAGTGAGACCCAGATTGTTTACTGACTTTGTGTTAAAAAACGATGCGCAAACTAAACAATTTTTCTTTACATAGTATATGATGTTTCTTTAGACGACATTCAGGCTTTTTTATAAACCAGTAGGGGCGCTGGTCCAAGAATAATGATCGTCTGCATAAACAAGGATCATCTTTGTAAACGCGGACAGACGCGCCAGCATTGGCAATGCAAAAAACAGATTCCGCGATGATTTTCACATTGACTTTGTACAAAGACTTTCACGTTATACCGTATTTGCCGGCGATAAGGCCGCAGCGCCGCATAGGCCGCACCCCCGATTTTGATATTAAAAAAAAAAAACCTTTTTTGTCGAAGGCGGGATTCGATCTCTTGTGGACACATGTAGATTGGGACCTGAAAACCAGCGCCTTACACCGCTCAGCTTTCCCTACTCTAATGCTTTCCCATGCAGCTTTTTCTTGTGTATTGCATTGCACCATAGCTTTGATCGTGCGATCTGAGGATTGAGGTTGCTTTAGCTATGGCAAAAACTTAAATCTAGATCTACCATTAGAGTTTGGTCGGTAAGTTATGAATTTTATTTACGAGATTGACATTACTTTGCCCTTCATTTAAAAAATATAACACATAATTGTCGGTAAGACGTGTGTTATTCTAGACAGTTATTCTAGAAATGTCCATCACCTTTCATTGTTGTCCCATATGTACAAATTCATGTTTTTGACTTGTGATTTTTTTTTTTACTCTTTCGCCGCAAAGGCCGCACCCCGTCTTTTTGATATTTTCTCTTCCAAAAATACTGCGGCCTTTACGTCTCTGTACAAAGTCAATGTAAAATGCATCAAGAAAATCATCCCGGAATCCATTTTTTGCATTGCCAATGTGCCGATCAAAAATATGGAACATCTGCTTTTTTGCAGACGATCCTTGTTTTTGAGGACGATCCTTGTTTTTGAGGACACATTGGTCCGCGTTTACAAAGCCGATCTTCGTTTATGAAGACGATCCTTATCCTCGGACCAGCGCCCTTACTGTTGATTGAGCTCACAATTCACAAAATAAATATAGGTCTAGTCTAGTCTAGGCCTATCAATATCAACAACATTCACACTCACAGACACAGTCAACACAATCATGACTATCTGCACAAATTCAATGCTGCATTAATAACAAAAAATATAATCATAGATTAATATCCAAGACCCACTAAACAACCATACATGACATGCATAAGCATCAGCCATTATTTAGCATGTTTAGTAGAAATGCATCAAGGCATCATCATTCATAGTATCCCTAATGCATGTACATGTACTGTAGCACTATCCTGGCCCTGGCCTGGCCAGCTCCAGCGGCAGCGCTACCGCTATCAACGCTGCTAGGGTGATGTGATCCGGCCTACCGCCCGGTGATGCCAACGCCGTAACTCGTAAGCTGCGAACAAATCATCAAACAATCAACAGTAGATCTAGGTCTAAATCTTATCATAAATTTATTATGGCGTTTTCAACCTACCGATAAAGCTTCTAGGATTCCACACAACAAATTCATTAGAGGAAAACGTCTTCAAATGATCCAGGTTTTCTTATATCACTCACGGATAGGCTATTCTCGCAATGAATGTACAATATGCGTTCACTATATACTAGACTCGACTCCGTATGCGTATCGTATACACGCGTTGACGTTGTGTACTGTGACCTCGCATTTGCATTGCATTGCGTTGCGTCCCTTTCGCACACTATTGGTGATGCGTATTTTTTTTCTTTCATTGTTTGGAGGTAAAGCTAGGATCTCGCAGTTCATTCAAGCAGCGATGTTAGGATGGCGCTATAACAGAAAATAATAGTTACAAGATTTGTCCTTTTGAAAAAAATAAAAGTAGGATATTAGTAGGCTTGAGTTATCTTCCCGAGACTGGGAATGAGGAGTAACACTCAAACACATGCAGGGAATGGACCCATTTGAAGATGATGTTCTGCATTTTCCCTCCCCTTCTAGCTAGCTTACAACAGATAATGAGAGGAGCAATAATTGATTGAAGCTCCTCATTTTGCCTTTAAAAAAAAAATCATCCATTGCCTCAGGCTTGGGGTATTCCCTACCACTGTCCTCTAATTCCTTTTGTTTGCCTCAACTAGGATGAGCTGTATAGTACATTCTCACCCCCTTCAATTACAAAAAAATAATTTTGTTTAATATGACCAAACGCCCCAACCCTCTATAGGGCATGGGCAATATATGGATTTCCAAAAGAGAATCCCAGTATACCTTACTTGCCACCTGTGGTTAAATCAAAAATGATAACAAAAGGTGCAGGTATGTCAATGCTAAACCACTCCCTCTATGAAGATGATAAGGATATGTCTATCCTAAAACTATATTAAAAAAAACAGTTTGTAGAAAAGGTGCAGAAGAACAGGCTACATACTTGCCTGGCTGAACCAAGCTGGTATGTCCTACAAAAAAAAAATCGCGGTCGGTCGAATAGTGACACGCTTACCCATTTGGTACACGTCGTCAAGTCAAATTTCCTTCTTTAGGTATGCACCAGAATGCACATTTTCAAGTCGAAAAATGAAAAAGTTCCCTACCGTGGGAGGGGGACTCACCCCACTCCCACACCCTCCCCCCGCTTGGTCGAAATACTGCTTGCCGCAGCTTTGTATGCTATACGACCTGCTGCATAACACATGACAATTGTTCCCCTTTCACTATTCTACACTTACAAAATGTCACGTTGTAATCATGGGTTAACTCATGAACCTAATACATGGTTAACTCTAGCCTAAAGCCATGATTGTGATCATAAACCTTCAATCTCATTATTCTATAGGGCACCAGTCACGAGATGGCGCTAAAGCACTAATTCCCAGTGCTACCAAACCCACGTTCACCATTTTCTAAACAATAATTATTAATCATCTCATTTTTCTTTAAATTGTTCAGTCAACAAATAACGTCTCTATTGAAAAATATTCACAGGAACGGAAAAAATCTATTAGGACTGGGTGGATGCCAGGCGCCTTTTTTTTTAAATAATAAAAATGTCACTTTTTGTTCAAAATTTGAAAGAATGTAAAAAATAATTATTTCGATTGTTTGCCCAAATATGTGGGCCTATTATGTCATAATGTTTGAAGCGCATCAGGACAATGATCACCCCCGAAAAACTTAACCCCAGAAAGCTACCCGCCCCAAGGAAAATTACCCCCAGGACATCCACCCCCACCCCCGAAATTCACCCCTGTTGGGGGAAGTTGTTCTCGTTAAAACTATGCAGAGGTGACTCCAATAGTGCTATATTGTAGTCACCGAGGCCCATTTATTTTGTTTTAACAATACGGTACCTCGAAATGAAGGCTAGGTGTTACATATATCTCGCATATCGAAAAAGAAAAAGTTAAAATCTAATTTACAAAAAAAAAAGATCATGGGAGAAAGTTACTTAAATGATCTGCAAAAACAATGTTAGGAAAGAGATACATTCAAAACTGTATTCAAAGGCCACCCGATTAATCGAAACAAGAAAGCTGGTCCCTGTAGACAGGTGACCTTTCTATACAGGTCATACAACACACATTCTCCCCCATTAAAGGAGAAGCAACATCGGTGGCTACAATAGACAGGTGAGATGGAGTTATGTAACTCTCCATTTTCTTCATATTCCTTTACAGTACACCTATAAAATGCCAGGTAATGTTTTTTCGAGGTTGAATATATAATCTAGATATGTATACATAAATTTGTTTTCTTCTCGTGATTCACTTAAAACTATTTCATGGATACATTAATGTAAAGTGAGGGGTGCGAAAAGAGTATCTACGCATAACAAATGTAATTTTTACGTTGTGGTAGTGGTTATCTTTTTTTTTTTTACCTGGCTGCTAAGAAAGCATAAATGCTTGTTAGTAAGCAACCAGAGGCCTCTTCCGGTCGATAAGAAGTGGTAAACTGTAGCAGTTGTTTTTACTTGGTGTAAATGAATGGCCAACAGTAATTTGTGCGCAACAAAGGAATTCCGACTTGTGCCGATTCATTTGAATCTTGTATGATGTGATATGGAAGTGTAATGCGTAATACACTTTATGTCATCATTTAAACAAACAAAAAATCTCTGCAGTTTTGCCGCGTCATATCTGAACAAATATTTGTGTGTTTGCAGGAGAAGTGAGATGTACTACTTTTTACGAAACATTACTTTACCAACAGTTTTTTATTTGGTTTTTCACAGAATCACACAAACTGGCTAGTATACAAATAGAGATATCCTTGCCTTGGGGGCTCATCAGAGCGAACAAATGAAAAGTCAAGGGCTTTCAACTATGCACGTAGTGATAAATACAATTGATAACTCAAATGTCTGAAGGATGAACAAGCCTTAAAACTTGACCTAACTCTTTTTCTTATGATTTTTCTCCTATGCAGTTTTTTTTTCATACATTCAAGGAGAAGAGATGAATAGCATTGACGTCATTTACATTGTAATGCTTGTTATAGTGCGACCTTTAGCAATACAATGGGCAGATTAGGGCTTTTTATAAATCTGAAATGAAAAGAATTTGAATCTATATATTATCTGTGACACCCTTTGCACACTGCGCACAACTACCTCAGTCTCTCAAACTTGGCGGTATCAGGTTCAGTTCTTACTCAAAGAATTTGCTGTGAAACTTCTGTCATCATTCATCAGGGAAGATGCAGCGTGTTCTTGTAATATTGATCATTTCTATGATTCTTGTGGCTGGTGTTGTGGAAGGAGCAGGTAAGATTTTAATCGTTCAAAACATTTCTCATTATTGTTATTTAGTTCAGTCATCAAATCCACTGAGAATTACCAAAATCGTGGACTTATAATATAATCTTCAATTTACATACAAGTCTTTAAAGATCATCCTTTCACAGGAGTTTCTTTGCCTTCTTTTTCTAATATGCTTTAATTAGAAGTATCCTAAAATAAACAAAAAGAAAGACAAAAGGTTTCAACCAGTGTTTTCATTAGGGCCCAAACCCTCAATGCCTCAGTTGGGAATCGCAGACAAAAAACACTGTATGATGTCCGCCGCGCTCGCTCAAAGAACATTTTAACACGGTAACTGGAATTTTGCCGGGATTTTACTCTTGCTCTGGACTATTAAATGGTTTTGGCATTTTTCGTTTCTTTACGGGAATGGCTAAAATCACGACTGCAATTTCTACCAATCAGATGGCTGGATTTCTTAAGTGAGGTATATAAATCTCAAAACAGGAGTATACCAAGGTATTTAAGCTCTCTGGACTCTCATACGAGAGGACACTGGGTTCAATTCTTGCTCAGTCGGTGCTAACATCTCAGGACAAGATGTTTTGCCCACATACAAATGGGTACATGTCAATGATGGGAAGGAAGAACAGTATTAACAATGAGGCTAATGTTGGTAAATAAGCCCAGTTGTTCTTAATTATTCATGATTTTCATCATCTCTTTACTTGTTTGGTACTTCACTTTCTAGAAGGGGAAAAGCTTGTCACAAGGCGTCGTCGTCGTTCGTTTGTCCTTGTGAGAAAAAGCAGAGACGTGCCTGGGGTAAGATCACATTCCCTCATTCTAATAGCTCAATGTCAGCTGCATGCAATAAAGCCTCAAGGGGGAGCAAGGGGGAAGGGGGAAGGGGGGCACATCCCTCCCAATCGAGTCGTTAACGAAAAAAGATAGCGCGAGAAAAGAAAAAAGGGGCAAGGGAAAAGCAGAAAAGGATGAAAAACGAAGATGCTTAGACCTGCACGCTCCCCCTAATCACACAGAAGATTTGTTTTATGTTGGGAACCGGGGTAAAAGCAATAAATTATTGAAAATTTATTGCATTTTCTGTTTTTTATTTTATTTATGGAAACTGCCCCCTACCCTAGCCCCCGCTGCGTACAGTCATGGTTCAGTGACAAAGCAATTGCCTCGTAACTGTGAGGCCCCAGGATTAAAACCGTGTCGATGTGCTATAGTGCCCTTTTGTGGGGCATTAATCCTCATTACTGTCATTTATAACTTGAGGGCGTAAGTCCCCTAGTTGATAAGCATGGTAGCATACACATGCTTTAGCAGTCCCGCAAAACACACATTGGCAAATTATTATTCAATAAAATCTGAGAATGTATACTATTATCTAGATCTATTATTTTTGAATTGTTTTTAAAATAATTCCATAAATTGGGGTAAAACTAAAATATTCCAACTTTATGAGCGACAGTGAGCTCCATATCCTAAGGATGTGCCTCTACCTCTAAGTGATAAAATTCTGATTTTCAACAATCCTGCAATTTGCGTTCTGGATGCATGTTTCTGTGCCACTACACGTGGCTAAGCTACCTTCAATGAATGACATCATCGAATTTAAAACCTATATTCTTTGATTTCTGTTAGGAAATGTCATCGCTGAAAGTGAAGAAGGAAGAGAAAAACCAGCTCAAGGAGGAGGATTTGGAAGAAAAATAAAGGCCACACCATCAGACGACCTGTGTGTAGCTTTCAAAATAGTATTAATATAATAACAATGTCTTCCATAGCGAAAGTATCAGCCTTCTAGGCACTCATTTGGCTTGCTCCAAGATTCTTGTATGATACATGTAATCTGGTAAACTCATGGCCCGAATTCACAAAGCAAGGTTTGAGCTCAGACCAAGGTTTGAGCTCAAACCTCCTTTTGTTTCGCCAAACCTCCTTTTGTTCTTTACAAACCAGGTTTGTAAAAAACGCGTAAAACGCGTCATATGACGTACGAAAACCAAGGTTTGTCGACAAACCTCCTTTGTGAATTCGGGCCTGTAGGTTTACTGCTTGTGATACAATTAAAACAATATCGAATAGTGCAAGAAGTAGTTTGCAGTGTTCAGTCAATACATTAACCATGTTAATTATGGATCACATTTACCGTCTTAAATAACATATCAATTTTTATTTCCTTATAATGGTTTAGTATTGTTATGTATTGGCAAATGCATTTTTGTTATTTATTTTTTATTTGTATAATTCAGCCTAGACTGTGAGACAGATTAATGTTATACAATTAAATTAAAATACCATTAAATACATATTTATTTGACAAGCACATCAGAATGGCTAGTTCTTTTCAAGTTGAAGAGATGTGTCTTTCCATGGTAAAAGCTGCTCGGACACAAAATGGAAGGTCATTCCAAACCTTTGCGGCAGGCACTAGGAATGAACATTCACCCATCTGTCTATCTTTTCTGCTCTTTCTCTTTCTTCACTATATATATATATATCTTTCTCACTCTCTCTCTCTTTCTCTTTTAACCTCTTTTCTCTATACATCACTCCCTTATCTCTTCCTCACTTTCATATTTTATTTCAGTACATATTCCTCATTTTCTTCTTGCTCGTATTTTTGTTTTTATTTTGCATTTGGTACAATATTAAGGATAAACGTGTGATATATACGTGCACTTATGTAAATGATACTGTTTTAAATGGCACAGTTGTTTTTTAAATGCAATGTATATCCACGTGCAATTCAATATATGTAACCGCGATGCATGATTCAATAAATACAATACCAGACGACACCATGTAATATGCAATAGTTTACAAAGAGCATTACTACAGCTTTTACAGAAGAAACAGAGAGAGGGAGAGAGAGAGAGAGAAAGAGAGGATGAGAGAGAGAGAGAGAGAGAGAGAAAGAGAAAGAGAGGATGAGAGAGAGAGAGAGAGAGAAGAGACAAAGAGAAAGAGAGGATGAGAGAGACAGAGATATATATAGAGAGAGGCATAATATAGAGAGAGAGAGAGCGAGACAGGAAGAGAAAAAGAGGGTGAAAGAGAGAGATAGATTGCTAGATATATATATATATATATATATATATATATATATATATATATATATATATATAATATACACAGAGAGAGAGAGAGAGAGAGAGAGAGGACAAAAGAGATATGATAAAAGACGCGGTGGCTCCAAGATAACAAGCAAGAGATGATTGCAAAACAATTGGTACTATATCCCTTTTGCAGGCCACAAAAATGAAATGGTTAAATTCCAACGGAATTTTAAAGATGATACTAATTTAGAACTTCACTCAAAACGAAAGGGCTTGAAAAAGTCTTTAACTTAGTTAATAATAAGTAATAGTCAGCCAGCTCACGGATATATAAAACGGTTTGACACTGTGTCAAGCGCGTAGCTAGGATTTTCTTTTAGGGAGGGGCGAATCAACTAGGGGGGGGGGGGGTGGATGCAGAGAGGGAAAGTCCCCCCCCCCCCCCTTTCGCGCGAATCAATAATTATTAGAGAAAGAAGACAATTCGTTGTACCGTTCTCGACTCTTAATCCTTGTCTGAATTCTCAAAAAAAATATTTGATTCAGTGTTATGCAATGAGCAAAAAAGGTTTGGGGGTGGAGGGGGGGGGGGGGGGCCAGACTTCAATTGCAAACAGAAAATTCGCATCACCATCCGACTCTTACATGTAAATGCCTGCATGCCCCGCAGAATGTTTTTCAAAGTGGGAGGGGTGGGGGGAGGGGTAAAGTATTTACGATCAGGTAGAGTGGAGCGTAAATTGGCGTGGGGTCCAGGGGCATTACGGCCAGATGAGCGTCCAGGGGGCGGAGCACCCGGAAGCTCATAACTATCGATTTGTACTATGGAACTGTGAACATAAATTGACAAAACTTTGTTTTATTTGATGTCTTGTCTCCCGCTATCATCAGATATACTGACATCTTAATTGGGTCTGTAACATAATTTAGATTTTTCCGTATTAAAGCCTATTATTTATGCCATATGAACGATTTTTAAAAAGCTGAATATCTTGAAGGATATCGCCATTTGCTGTTACAACAGACACGTTTTTGATTGGTAATGCATTTCAAAAACGTGTCCGTTCATAATTTTAAAATTTTCGTAAATGGTTATAAATGATCTTGCGTTGGAGAGAGCTTTGCACTTGATATCATTGTCATCATAATCATATAATAATAATAATAATAATAATAATAATAATTATTGTTGTTAGTGTTGTTGTTGTCATAATCATTATTATTCTTCTCATTGTTATGATTATTATTGTTATTAGTAGTAGTAATAGTAGAAGTGGTATTTTGTATAAGAATATAATAATATAGACATACATATATAATACATAAACACACACATTTTATAAATATATATATATATACACACATTTACATAGGCCTAAACATATATAATCACATACATATTAGTCTTTCGTTTCATGTCACATGATGTAAGTGAAAGAAATAGAGCAGAACTCTAACCTTGAAGCCTCTTGTCCCTTGTTCAATGAACCGAAACTCGATTCGGTCATCTTCTCCAGGGCCATTTAAGGGCCTTGAATCACAAGAAATCGGAATCTTGAAAAAAATACTTTGATGGAAATATCAGTCACGTAGGGTATGTATAGATGACAAAAGAACGTTTGCCTTGGATGTTTTACGTGACGTTTAGTGAATTGAAAGGTGCTTTACGTTGCAACTAGATCAAGGGATTGCCTTGTTTTGTATTGATTTAATGTACTCAACCAAGTATTATTGATACTCGGTCCTCCAGGCGGTTCATTATCTTCACTGTATATTAATTATATCGACCTCGACGCAACGTCGAATATTATATAAAGCTGTGTTTACCCATCTTGCGAGCAGTCTAACTTTATAGGTACTTGGCAGAATAATGTTTTTTCTTATTGGAGTTTAAATTCAAATTATATAGCCCAGAAAGCTTACATGCATAGTTGAAATCGATCAAAAAAAGTAATACTTCATAATTATCAGACCTGAATGAGTTGATGTAAATACTGGACGTTTCTGAACAAGATTTTTATGTACTTTCTCTGATGTGTGATGTACTCATTTGAGCTTTTCTAACAGTAATTGTACCCACTTGAGTAATACTCTTGGAGAGAAATTCATCATGGGGAGCGCATGCACCAAGACATCCAGTGGCACAAAATACACCTTGTTCGTAAAAACGGGTGATCGATTTGGTATGGGCACAGACGCCACGGTCTCGGTTGCGTTCTATAACGAGCAAGGACTTCGTTCTTCGGATTTCAAGCTCGGTAACCTGTTCCGAAACGACTTCGAGTCCGGTCACGTGGATAAGATGCAGATTGTGTTTGAGAATCGCAAGTTTGGAGACCCGGTCCACATAGAGCTGTCGCGGAACGGAGCCGGGCTTGGAGACACCTGGTTCTGCGAGATTGTTCAGATGTTGAACATGAAGACGAAGAGAGTGCACATGTTTCCCGTCCATCGCTGGGTTGATCCCGAATCCCCGATGAAACTGAAGGAGTACGATGCCGAGCTTCCACAGTATGACGAGAACGTGGCACAGAGACAAGACGAGCTCAAAAGGAAGAGAGATCTGTACGTCCCGGTCAGGAATGAACTAACAGGGATGATCACGGTAAGGATGTTTCTCTTATTATAATCAAGGCTTGTTCACGTATAGACCGCGGTAAAGCGTGGCGGTATAAACAGGGGCGGTTTTCCGCGAGGGTACTTTCTGCATTCCCACCTGCTATTCATTCTACTGTACGCGTTGCAGCAAACGTGAACAAGCCTTTGGAAGGGTCGAATTGTTATAAGGCCTCATCAACTATATAGCTTTATCATATCAAAAACTTAGAAAGAGAACATGTGAGGGAGGGTTGAAAGAAAGGTTAAGAGAGAGAGAGGGCAAGAAAGCGCGAAAGATATATTTCAAAAGAGTTTTAAAAAAAAGAGAGATTCTATTAAAAGTCTTAATTTCATCTTCAATTTCATGAAATAGATTAACATTTTCATCTAGAATGGAAAGGGATTAAAAGAGAGCAGTTGATAGATGTTGATAATTATAATAATGATTAATAATAACATGAACAAAAAACAATAGTTATGTTTACCAAGGAAAGTCTTATCATCATTAATGTTGTTCTTGATGATAGACCTGCTATTGCATGTATTATTACCTCAGTAATTGCCAGGTTCCCTCTTATACCTCAGTAACACCGACGAGATCGACTCTAGCCCGACATTAACAGACCGAACTGAAAAGAATCGGTCGGTTTGGAGTGGGTGTTGGGTCGGTCTGGCGGTATGACTGATGAATTACACCTTGGTGGAGAGTGGCAAATTCAATCCGATTCAATTTAAATTCAAAGTAACATTTGTGGATTAAAATCTCGCCAAAGGACGAATAGTTAGGGTCAGAATCGAACCCTCCAACGGAAGATTGAGAGTCAAGTGAATACCGCGATAAGATTGGAAAAAAGGAGAGAGAGAGAGAGAGAGAGAGAGATTTGATTTGATTTTAATTGCTTTTATTCTGCATTGTGTATACATTTAAACAATTTTCGGTAAACATGACAAATATAAAATACTAAAAAGTACTTTCTGACAATTAGTCATAAATAAGCAAATATACATAACATTACTATAGAAAAATGAAAAGATAAATTTTTAAATGTTCATATTTCCTAAAACCTTATACAATTATTTGCGGAATGGGCAAATAAATGACAGCATAATTATGTAAAATATAAGGATAATTGCTGCTGATGATGATAATGATAATGATAATGATTAAACGATAAAAGAGAAAGAGGGGGGGGGGAGATGATGATGATGATAATGATGATGAGGGTGAGAATGATGATGATGAGAGAGAAAGAGGGGGATCCAGAGAGAGGGGGAGGGGGGAGGAAGGTTATATTTAGTTAGCATCAGTTGGACAAGCGTGTTCATGTGCTTTTACGTATACCAATCACTAGTCTTTAACGTAAATCAATAAAAAAAGAGATGATAGGGCAACTTATACAGTGTGAGTCAAAAAAAGTTTACACCTAGAAAATTGCTAATTATTAAAAAAAAAAATCATCGATGAACATTAAATTGTTATATGTCTTATGAAAGAGTGTTTTATCCCTAATCATTTGGTACCCTTTTTGTGTGGTATGTGTTCACGCTTGGATGAACAGGAGGCATTGTTTGCGAGAGTGCAAACATCGACTTGTGCCAAAGTTGCCTACGTGATGTGTGAATAAAACAATTGGGATTTGGGTATTAATTCGGTCTTTGCAGATCCAAATAACATCCCTAACAAAATTTATCATGCCACGTACACATATCAAATATCGAATATCAAATATCAACGAACATTGTGCGCGCGTGTGTGGGTGTGTGTGACTTTGCCCTTTGCAAAAAACATATGCAATGCATTTCATTTGATACATTCAATCCATTCTCTCATCACTCCGCTAATCCCAACATCATACATACTGTAGGCATCACTTTGGCGCAAGTCGATTTTTTACACTCTCGCAAACAATGCCACCTGTTCATCCAAACGTGAACACATACCACACAAAAATGATACCAAATGATTCGGGATAAAACACTCTTTCATAAGATGTATAATAATTTACTGTTCATAGATGATTTAAAAAATAATTAGCAATTTTCTAGGTGTAAACTTTTTTTGACTCACTCGGTATTTTATACACACAAAGAACATTAGAATCCCGATGACTTTCTGTAAATGCTTATGGTATTTTTCTCTTTCAGTACAAGG